GATTAGATTAACAAAACAACTTTCGAGATTCTAGAATTACAGCATACAAATTAGTCTGCTATTATTCTCTAATCTCACCCCATCCCCAAAAGTCTAGCGTAACTACCGACCATTTATCCGCGCATCACTTGGAAAATGACCTACACTACTCTGACCTACTGGTGCTAATCTAATCTGACTGACATGATCAGACTGTTCGAGAAACTTACGAACAATATGACATGTTCCTAACTAAACAGCTTTTTGAATTTTGACAATAATTGAATCATTCAAATGCAAAGACTTTAAATTCTCAACTAAGCTATTTGGGACTACACTTATATTAGAGATAACTAAGGGTAGAATTGAAATTTTTTTAAGATTCAACATGGATTTCATTTCTATCGATAATTGTAGATATTTTGAAATCTTGGTGTGGTATGTTTGAATAATGTTGTTTATGTTAGGAATAGCAATGTCAATGAGAATGGCTTCGTTCGTGTGTTTTTTTATAAGTCTGGTCTGTTAGCTGTAATGTTTAAGTCTGTAAGTATTGTGCGATCCCAGTATAATTTGTATCTGTTATTTTCAAGGAACGGAGATGGAATGTAAGTTAGTGTAATAGGGTGTCGTATCTTCGATTAAGTTCACAAGTGTTGCTAATTCTTTGTGAAGGATTTTGGCGGCGTTGTCGTGTCTAGCTTTGTAGTCAGTTTGTGCTGGGATGCTGCAGGAGGAGATTATGTGCTGGATTGTTTCAGGTTTTGCTTTGCAGAGGCGACAGCAGTCGTTTCTTATGTTCGGATCTTTGATGATGTATTTTCTGTAATTCTTGGTATTGATTACTTGTTATTAATTATTAATAATTATAAATTATTATTAATGTTATTATTGTCAAACTTCTATCATCGCCTCACCACATCAGACAGTCACGAGCCGCCACTGGAGTTAACGTTCTGGTGTCCTGTGATTTTCATTAACTGCTGTTCTTCGACTCCAGCTTTAGCCAAAGCAGACACCGCTGATGAGCGCACAGAATGATTTGATATTTTCCTTCTTCTGATATCTAAACCAGTCACTATTGCTAACGACTTTACCCATTTACCAATTTCATTAACTCCCACGGGATTATTTTTGTACCACACTGCATTTTGTATTTTGTTCCAAAAAGGATTGGGTGTTAAAAACATTCTGTCGGTGTTTATGTTATTTCCTTTTTTCATCATTAGTAGATGATACAGCGTATAAAATAGTTTAATACACGACATAAAATGGAAAAGAAAAATACCTAACGGGACAGAGGTTGGGGTTGTCTTTATTTTTGGTCAACCATTTACTACTTGTCAGTCTGTCAGTGGTTTTGAACCACCTTGTGCTGTTTTTGAAAAGACAGGATTATATTCAATCCGGCCTGTAATAAGTCCTGTATTGTCAAATGTGAAACAACTGGCTCCTTCACCACCACGCCAAGCTAATTCAAAAGATGCTATTAAAAAAACTCCTTTTGCAAACCGTCTGATGTATTTTCATTTAAATTTTGTACCATTTTTAAGAATTCATTTTCAGTTAGCGCAGCTGAGTTTACTTTTACTTCCCGAGCGTAAGCTAGTTTTACGTTTTCTCGATCTTTCATGACCCATAGAAAACGAAGAAATAGGTCTCCCATTTCCGTCTGTCTGTCCGTCTGTCCGTCTGTCTGTCTGTGTTTGTACTTATATTAGGAATATCATATAGATGGTAAAACGCTAACCAAAATTTGTCTAATCATCCCCACGCGACTAATGCGATGACGTCACTTCAAAATTGTACATAGTAAATGGGTTTTAAATTGTACAAAATAACATAGTCCTAGACATGTAGTTTACGACTCCAGATTGAGTTTTTACCCGAAACGTCCTGATTTTTGGAAAAAAAATCAAAATTATAAAACAACATTTTGCAATTAAATTTTGAATCTGCTAACCCGAATGTTTTGAAATGTTCCAGATGTTTTAAGACTATAAAGAGCATCATAAATCTTTAGTCAAAATATATTTGGTTATCCCCTCCAAAAACTTGATGACGTCAGCTCAAAAGTTTGCCGAATAAATCCGATCTAAAATGTACAAATTATGATGAGTCTGTACTTGTGATATATCACTCCATCCATATTTTTTGGATTTGCATATACAGGGTGGCTCAAAAAAATTAATGAATGCATACATTTATTTTACTGATTTACTCAGGAACTACAAAACCGAATGCTTTGAAATCTTGAAGATGTTTTAAAGTTATCATAAGCATGGTAAATTGTTGATCAAAATGTATTTGGTCGTCCCCCTTAAAAAATTTATGACATCACCACAAAATTTTGCTGAATAAATCCTATTTAAAATGTACAAAATATGGTGAGTCTTTTCTTGTGATTTATCATTCCATTCAATTTTTTTGATTTGCATATACAGGGTGTCTGAAAAAAAATAATAACTGAGTCAATTAATTTTATTGATTAAATCAAGAATTGTAAAAATGTAATGCGAAAAAAGACATAATTGGCTTGCAATTTTTTGATAATAGAATTGATTTCGTCGTTTTGAGCTTGCCCCCAATGTTGGCAAGCCATAATACACAAAAAATTTATGAAATTTTAAAATTTAGGTAGCAACAGACCACAATAAGGTAATAAAATTATTATCGCTGTGATAGACATGTATCATGTAACTAAGGGCATGAATAAATTCTATTGGAAGAAATGGGGTCATGTGATCCATGAATTATATTCTCAGTTATAATATAACAAGTGATATGATTATTATCGATAATATTTCGAGTGAAACCGAGCTGCAGATTCAACGAGTGCGAAGCACGAGTTGAATGTGCTGCTTCGGTTTCACGAGCCATATCTTCGATTATTAATCATATCACGAGTTATATTCAACATGAGAATATAATAAATGAACACATTTTTTGACAATAGAGTTGATTTCGTCGTTTTGAGCTTGCCTCCAACGTTGGCAAGCCATAAAAGACAAAAAAATTTACGAAATTTTAAAATTTGTCAATTTGACAGTTTTTAAATTTAGATAGCAACAGACCACAATAAGGCAATAAAATTATTATCGCTGTGATAGACATGTAACTAAGGGCATGAACAAATTCTATTGGACGAAATGGGGTCATGTGATTCATGAATTATATTTTCATTGAAAAACGCTGATCAAACTTCATCTAATCATCCCCACGAAAAATGTGAACACGTCACTTCAAAATTGTAGGTACATAGTAAATGGGTTTCAAATTGTATAAAATAACCTAGTCCTATATAATATACACAATATTTCCTGTAACTACGTAACCTTCTTATGTTTCAACCATAGAAGCACTGTGTTTCTGGAGATTTCTTTCATGCTGTCGCATAGGTGTTTGAAGGTGTATTTTTGCAAATTTACGTTTTATAGGCTCAAGTTACCTTATTTAAATGTCTACAGTCTTCTTAAGTTGTATTTTATCATAGGAATAAAAGGTAAAATTCCCGGTAGGCCACCACTTGTGAAGCCGCGTGATCAACGACAACTGATGAAAATTTATAAAATTGGACGACGGAGTACTTTAAGAGAAATTACTGCTTGCTGGAATAGCGATAACCAACTAAATGTTTCAAGACAATATTGTCACGAATGGATACACAAATCAGGCCTTGGTTTTTACATTGTAAATCTTAAATAAAGCGATCTTTGATTGACTTTATTATTTATTTATATTATGTTAGGCTAAAGTAAAACCACAATTAAAAACTGCCCATAAGAAAAATTGGTTAATATGACCAAAATAAAAATTGGAGAAAAGTAATATATAACGCTGAGTCCAAATTTGATGTATGGGTGAGATAATAGTCGAAAAAGAGTTACTGAAATAAAAAAGGAATTTTAATATTGATTATCTTAAACAATCAGTCAAGTTTGCAAGCGGAAAAATGGTTTGGGGGTGCATGTCTATTAACGGAATTTAAAGACCAGTTAACAACGTTCATGGAAGGGAAATTACAAATTCAAACAAATGTCAAGAGACTTTGTAAAAAAATATTAACAACTACTGAAGCAGTCTATCCTGTTGATATTTATATTTTTCAACAGGATGATGCTTCAAGTTACACACCTACAACACTTATTACAAAGAATAATAATATAAATGTTTGCCCTGACCATCGAATAGCCCAGATCCTAATCTAGTATAGACGGTATGGCGTGAAATAAAAAAATATTTAGGAAATCATCCATGACAAGCGATTGTCAATCTTCAACAGGAAATTTAGCGAGTATAGGATACCATAACAACTCCTGTATATTGCAGAAAATTAGTTGAAAGTATGATGGCAAGAATTCCTGCAGTTATTAAGGCAAAAGGAGATATGACCAGTTACTGAATTTGCTGTGTCCCAATATTTATGTGTCACAAAATGTTACGTTGTTTTAGAGTTTTATGTCACTGTTTGAGTTAGACATCAGTTTTTATTGTGCTGTAAACATTAACAGTTTTGCAAAACGAAGTAATTTTAAAATTTTAATTATCTAAAATAAATTACATTTTGTTAAAAAGTTTGGTGATTTTTTTATAAAAATTTTTTGTTGTCCCAATATTTAGTTGTTAGGGCTGGTATTATAAAACAGGTCGTGTGAGGAATAAAGGAACCTTGCGGAGATATATAAAAATACTAATTGCACCTTACTTTACAAGGTGGCGGCCGAATGACAGCAGCCCCAACGTTACTAGATAACTGGTTATCTGGTGACTTTAAGCAGCCCCAGTCCCGAAGACTGACCAACCCCCTTACGACCTTGTGAAACCAAAAAAAATCGCTGCCTAACCAGAATGCACGGTCTCATGCCGAGTTGAGTACTACATATGTATATATGTACATATACTCTCAAGAGAAAGGGCATTAGTATAACTGCTTTGTGGATACTGATGTTCAAATTTTGCGCGGAATTACGTCAATAGCAATGCCTAAGTAATTGTACGCATGCGTTGCCAAACCAACGCATTAACCATCAACGTCCGCCACATTCCGCCATTTGCACGAATAGCGTGCGTAGTTGTGTTGTTGAAAAAAGTATTACGTGTGTTTCAATTTTTGTTGTGAATTAAAAAACAAAAGGGAAAATGAGTTCAATAGTGGACCCTGCCAAGTTAAAAGTAGTGGAATTACGTGCAGAACTTTCTAAGCGAGGTTTGGACTCTAAAGGAAATAAACCGGCGTTGGTAAAACGCTTGAAAGAAGCTTTAAAAGAAGAACTAAAAGGAGGTTGGTATAGTGTGACTATGATGAACAAATATTAAGGAAAGTTTTCGTCTGTTTTGAAAACCGCGATTACTACAGAGTTATGGTAAACATTGGTGTTTGTCAGTTGTTAATTAAATGACTACGATGGTTATCAGTATTTAATTTTGCGTTAATTCATAAAATGTGTGCAGTAAAGTTAATATGTTCATGTTAAAGATGGTGTAAATTTAATTTTTTGTCTGGTATATAGTTAGTACCAGATAACTTTCTGCTAGTCCCAGATGTCTTTGGCGGGAAATTTAACTCTCATGTGTTTAACAGAATTGCCTGACACTTCCATTGCTGACACTTTAACAGAGGAACCTGACACCTCCCAATCGCAAGATTGCGATATAGAAGAGTCTAAAGTACCTGATGGAAAAACTGATAGTCTAAATGTAGAGAATGTCTCAGAAGAACATGGAGCTGCTTTTCCAGAAGTTGTTCAGCCCTTGGTAACTGTTGCTAACAGTGAAGATAACATGGAAGTAAGTATCATTTCATAAGTGAATTGATTTTTAATTTTGTTTTTTTGTTGAGGCGGAAAATTCAACACTAGAATCGATGGCTAAAGAACCAGATGCTGTGGTTATACACGAATCTGAACAAGATATAGAGAAATCTGTGGAAAATCAATTGGAAGAAGTTAATTTCAACCTTGATGAAAATGGAGACATGGTAATTAGTGGAAGCTCTTCAAAGTTTGTGAAGATAATTTTGTTTTTAAGGATGAATCCAAATCTAGAAAATCTCGTTGGAGTTCTCAAATTGATAACCCTGATTTGATCAAGCTTGAAGAAAATAATCAGATCCAACTGACAGAAACAGCAGGAAAGGAACAAGATTCAGATCCAAAAGTTGAAAAACGAAGGCGGAGTAGTGTATCGCCAGATAGATCTCAACGTCGAAGAAGTAAATCACCAGTTAAAGAAGATGAACCTCCCATAGATGCAGACAAGGTTCAACTCAGTTGGTGTAAGTAATTTTTTTAATTGTTCATGTAATGCAATATAGGGTTCTGGGCAAGCATAGCAAATATACGATATAATTAAAAGTGACATTGCAAGTCAAAGTGAATCTGCATAAAAGTAATATGTAGCTTACCTGAACTGCACTCTACAACACAGGTCTTTTATTTTTTATTCGGCAGTTTTTATTTACTAACAGTAATAAATTTGAATTTCTTGTATTTATTTTTTCTCATTGTATCCAAATTGATGAATCTACATTTTATTCATCACATGTTTTTTATTTCCTATTTCAAGTTTGATATACAGTGATAAGGTAATCATCATATATTAAGAAATGGCCCAAGTGTTTGTTTTATTTTAGATGATTCTGACCTTCATCTACAAGTGGATAAAGAATCGTTTTTATCAGCAAAACCCTACCATGAGGGTGCTTTTGGATTTGCATGGGCCGGAGTTCGGGCAACTCATGGAGTTACTGCTGGAAAGGTAACTTAAAATTAATTTCAATAGTTTCTTAAAATACATTGGGCATATTTTAATTATTTTAGATTTGTTTTGAAGTTAAAGTTACAGAAGAATTAAAATGGGAAGATTTTTCAAAATACTATGATAAACATAGAAAAGACCAGCAAAAATCATTAACAAAATACAAACATGGTGAGAATAAAGTAAAAGATGAAACTGATTCGAAGGAAACAGATGGAAAAGATATTAATTCTAAACAAGAAAATGGTGACGAGGAAGAACTGCAAAATACTGAAACTGAAGTGAAAGAATTTGTAGAACAGTCAGCTGAAAGAATAAAAGAAAGTAATGAGTTGGAAGTATCTGCATTAGGAGAGTGTAAATTAGAAACTACTGAATCAGAAGAATGCAAAGAGTACACAGATGATCAACAAATACAAAGTAAAGAACAATCAGAATCACTCCCTACTCATTTGTTTCGTGTGGGTTGGTCTTTACTTGATACTGGTCTTCAATTGGGAGAGGATAAGTATTCATATGGGTATGAATCTTCTGGAAGTTTTGTTACTAATAAAGAATTTCAACAGTATGGAGTACAGTTTGGTATTGGTGACGTTATTACAAGTTTCTTGGTATTTATTTCGGTATATTTTATAATCAGTTTTTTAGTTATTACATTTTAGTGTATTGATGAAAACAGAATTAGTATATCGTATGCTGTAAATGGGGTGCCACAATTAGAAGCTGTACAGATTCCTTATTCTGAAATGCCTGAAAATTTTGCTTTGTTTCCACATGTGCTTTCACGGAACTATGCATTTGAATTAAACTTGGGAAGTAAAGAAGAATCTTGGTTTTCTAGACCTGAACCTTATGAAGAATATCAATTTTTGGATAAAGTGGAAGCAAAAGTCGCTGGATTAGCACGTCCTGAAAATAGGAGTGATTGTGAAGTAAGAGCTTTTTATGAATGTATTAGTAATGTGATATAACGATGTACCTTGAAGGTTATATTAATGTGTGGTCTGCCTGCTTCTGGAAAAACCCACTGGGTGCGAGAATACATTCAGTCTAATCCAGACAAGCGGTACACTGTTCTGGGAAACACACACTTCTTAGAAAAAATGACGGTAAGTTATACTTCGATTATATTGGTCAATTATTGATAAGAAAAGATGAAAGATATATGCTAATTATCTTAACTTCATGGAATCAAATTAATCGTTCAAAGGGCTATTTTTGATTTTTTTGTGCCCCCGTTATTTCACTGTAATTTTTTCAAGTAAATTTTACTTCCCAATTGTAAGTATTGTATTAAAATTTCTGTTACTAAATTATTGATACGAAATTCATGTTTTCTCAACGTTATTCCTACTAGAATATAAAAGAATACGTGTTTCCTTTTCGTCGGTTTGTTGCCTATTAGTGATTTTATTATGTGTATAAATCTCCAAACGTACTGGACTGTGAGTGGTTATAATAATAATAATATTAATAATAATATAAAATATAGTCAAAATTATAGTTAAAAGACCGTCAAGAACGATTACATTTTTTTTGAATAATTTTTTCGTCATCCCGGTCATTACCTTATATCAAGTAAAAAATCGGGTGAAGGTTTTTTCGACAGAACTTACCTCGCCTTTGCAGTACAATAAAACAGCGTTTTGATAAATTATAAAATTTGATTTTTTCAATGAAAATCCATATAAGTTAAGGTAAGATGTATTGTCGACACATAATCAAAAACCACTTGGCCGTTGACCTTTGTAAATGTCCACAATGTAACTATGGATTTTGATTTGTGAACATGGATTTTAGTAATTTATTTTAGTAACTATTCTGTAACTTGATATTCTGACATATCAAATCACATTGAAGTTAACGTTGTTAAGGTTTTTTTCAAGAACGCAGAAGAATAGCTATTTATGGTATAAGTGAATAAAAGTGAATTTTATCCAACGAAAAAATAGTTTAGCACACAAGGCGAAGCTGAGTGTGATAATGTTTTTAAGTGGATAAAATTCGTTTATTCACGTGCATCATACAAGATTTTTTTCCAATTTCGCAAAATTCTTAAAAAAGTTATTTTTTAGATAATCCATATTCATAAATATTAATTGTACTATTACTAATATGATGAACATTTGAAGAAGGTAAATTGCCTAAGCTGCCTGTACTTTCGTCACGGTCAAATTCAAACGATGCTCCTGGACTTTCATTAGGATTGTTTTACAGGAGGTGGACTATCAAGCGTTGCAAATTTTAGTTGAATATCCAACATCCATAGCAACGAAAATTTCAGTAGTAGTGCGAATTTTTAGTTTTTTTTTACTTTATTCGTGTTGTCAATGACAGTGTGAATAAAGTGTTGCTATAAACATTTTATTCATCCTTTCGATTAAACTATTGTTTTAATAGCGAGATTTCACATACAAAATGAGCTTTTTATTAGTAGAAATTGGAAAAAATATATTACAAGCTCATCCACTGCTCAATTCTAACTTAAGTGATTAACCCAAACTGTTCGTAACGAAATAATTATTGTCTGTGGAGTTTTAAAATTCAAATGTCAACTTCGATGACAATTAGCAGAGAACCTAAGAAGGGTGAAATTACTGGTATTCCTTATCAACACATTTTTTTTTTACTTCCCGAGCGTAAGCAAAGGAAGTATTGTAATCGAGTCCGTCTGCCGACTCTCTACTTTTACGTTTTCTCGATCTTTCATGATCCCTAGAAGACGAAGAAATAGGTCTCCCATTTCCGTCTGTCCGTCCGTCTGTCCGTCCGTCTGTCCGTCTGTCCGTTTGTTGTCCCGGATTTTTATTAGACAGATAATCTCCGAAAGTACTCGACCGATTGTTGTGAAATTTTGTACTTATATTAAGAATATCATGTAGATGGTAAAACGCTAACCAAAATTTGTCTAATCATCCCCACCACTAATGCGATGACGTCACTTCAAAATTGTACATAGTAAATGGGTTTTCAATTGTATAAAATAACATAGTCCTACACATGTAGTTTACAACTCTGAATTGACTTTTCACCCGAAACGTCCAGATTTTTGGAAAAAATATCAAAATTATAAAACATTTTGAAATTTAATTTTTAATCTGCTAACCAGAATGCTTTGAAATGTTGCAGATGTTTTAAGGCTATAAAGAGCATCATAAATCTTTAGTCAAAAAATATTTGCTTATCCCCTCCAAAAACTTGATGACGTCAGCTCAAAAGTTTGTGGAATAAATCATATCTAAAATGTACAAAATATGATGAGTCTGTACTTGTGATCTATCACTCCATTCATATTTTTTGGATTTGCATATACAGGGTGACTCAAAAAAATTAATGAATGCGTAAATATATTTTATTGATTTAATCAGGAACTACAAAACGGAATGCTCTGACATCTTGCAGATGTTTTAAGGCTATAAAGAGCATAATAAATGTTTAGTCAAAATATATTTGCTTATCCCCTCCAAAAACTTGATGACGTCAGCTCGAAAATTTGCCGAATAAATCATATCTAAAATGTACAAAATATGATCAGTCTGTACTTGTGATCTATCACTCCATTCATATTTTTTGGATTTGCATATACAGGGTGATTCAAGAAAATAAATGAAAGCGTAAATTTATTTTACTGATTTACTCAGGAACTACAAAACCGAATGCTGCGAAATCTTGAAGATATTTTAAAATTATTATAAGCATGGTAAATTTTTGATCAAAACGTATTTGGTCGTCCCCCCTAAAAAATTTATGTCACCACAAAATTTTGCTGAAAAAATCCTATCTAAAATGTACAAAATATGGTGAGTCTCTTCTTGTGATTTATCATTCCATTCAAATTTTTTCGATTTGCATATACAGGGTGACTCAAGAAAATTAATGAATGCGTAAATTTATTTTATTGATTTAATCAGGGACTACAAAACCGAATGCTTTGAAATCTTGCAGATGTTTTAAGGTTATAAAGAGCATAATACATTTTTAGTCAAAATATATTTGGTTATCTTCTACAAAAAACTGATGACGTCAGCTCAAAAGTTTGCCGAATAAATCGTATCTAAAATGTACAAAATATGATGAGTCTGTACTTGTGATTTATCATTCCAATCATATTTTTGGATTTGCATATGCAGGGTGACTCAAAAAAATTAATGAAGGCGTGAATTTATTTTATCGATTTAATCAGGAATTAGAAAACCGAATGCTTTGAAATCTTGGGAATATTTTAAAGTTATTATAAGCATGGTAAACTTTTGTTCAAAATGTATTTGTTCATCCCTCCTAAAAAAATTGATGACGTCACCCTTAAATTTTGCTGAATAAATCCTATCTAAAATGCAAAAAATATGATGAGTTTGTACTTGTGATTTATCATTCCATTCATATTTTTTAGATTTTCTTAAGAGGTGGTTCAAAAAAATTAATGAAGTCAATTTATTTTATTGATTAAATTAAAGGCAACACTTATTATTAGTATTACACCCCAACCAACCCAATTTGGTAGACACAAAATTTGTTAAAGGAAAAACTCGGTTGAAACATAAGGGTAGCACGCTTATTTACATCGACTTTAACATTACAGACCTGCATTTGTTTTATGCGCTCACTTGGTTCCGCGAATGTGAAATAGACATGTTTATAATCAACCAATTGTGAATTTCACCGTCAAGAATTAAAATAAAACCCAATGTTTTATATAATAAGCGGAAGTCGAAGCAATAAAACCGATGGTCGTTTTGTTTACAGTTTCTCTGTTTGACTCTCACGTATGGTGTTACGCCTGTCATCTTAAATTAAGAATGTTTGTACATACACGATTTTCAGTTGCCTCTGATACGTATACGTGAGTAAATTGTTTCGTTATTTTATTGATTATTACAAATCAATATTCAAAACGACCCAATTCATTTTCCCGAAAATTTGAGAATATAATAATTTTATTCTTAGTATTACACTACATCTATCCCAACTGATATACGTGTCCTTGCAAAAATGTTGATGACGTCATCGCAATTTTTTTTTAAATCCCCACTACAAAAATGTAATGAGAAAAAAAACACAATAGGCATGCAGTCGTCAAGTTTCCGACAGCGAGGGAAGTACTGTCTAAACTCTTTAGACCAATTTTTTGTTTTTACTTCCCGATCGTAAGCTAAGGAAGTATAGTAGTCGAGTCCATCGAACGAAGTGCCACATTTATGTTTTCTCAATGTTTCATGACACCTACAGTACGAAAAAAGTAGTCTCCCGTTTCCGTCTGTCTCTCTGTCTCTGTTTGTGTCTGGTGTCTGTATCCATTTTTCTTAGACAAGTAATCTCCGGAACTGCTGGACCGATTGTTGTCAAATTTTGTATGTATATCAGAAATATCATGTAGATGGTTAAATGCTACTCAAAGTTTGGATAATCAATCCCCACCAACAATTTGTATTTTAAAATAATTTTAATGTTATACGAATCCGCTGTCAGTTTTTTCGCTAAACATTCAAATTTTCGCAAAAACAATTCCAAGCTACAATACGATTATATTACCAACACCCAGTGGGGCTACAGCAAAGTCGAGAACTCGGAGACGTTCACGAAGTCCTGCCACACGCGGTAGTGGTTCGATGCCGAATTTGGCCGTTTACTTTTTTTTACTTCCCGAGCGTAGTAATCGAGTCCGTCGGCCGACTCTCTACTTTTACATTTTCTCGATCTTTCATGACCCCTAGAAGACGAAGAAATAGGTCTCCCGTCTCCGTCTGTCTGCCGTCCCGAATGTTTATTAGGCCCGCTTTTACCAACCAGGGATAAACCAAGGATAACTCTATTCCTTGGATAAACGTCGGATAGCGTTTTTACAATCATAGGATAACTACGGAATAGATAAAATTAGGGATAAACAACGGTATTTCTTAACCCCCGCTGTGGACATGGGATAAGAATTTATCCAAGGAATAGTAATTAATAATAACACTATCCCACATCATTTTGATAACTGATTCGAAACTATTGACTCTATTTTTTCTTTTAGAAGGTGTAGATCCACATTATTCTCTCGTTTCTTCAGTTTTACCTACGATGGTTGCATGTACATAAATTGCTTTTTTCACGAATATAAATTTATAAT